CGGAATGACCGGTCATTTCAGCATGACTTCGGGTCATTTGAAAATTAGTCAAATGACCTAGTCATTTGCCATCACTGAACTGACTTGCTTCCAAATGATCTTGTTAGCAAGCAAAATGTTTAAAAACTATTGGGATTCATTACTGAATATAGAAGATTACGGGCAAAAGTAAGTACGAAATTCATTGCATTGGTAGGCCAAACATGAGGCATTCTTTATTAACATAATTTTTGTATTTTTGTATAGCTTATCGCGATGGCTAGTGATTCGGCGGTTCAGACCAGCTTTAAAAGTAGCCAGGAGGGGCTTGATTCTGAGTACAATGGCATATAGGACATACGAGCCTCAGTCGGGATACTCGGGCGACCGAAAAGGGTACTACTGATAGACAATGAAAGAGTTAGTGATAAAACCTATAGTCTCCCCAACCTGTCCCAATACCTCTTTTCTCATCCAGCCGTTAAAGTGAAATCCCTGCTTCCGTGAAAATCGAAGAACTCTATGAATATTACGACCTAAAAACTGAACTTCCTTGGTTTAAAGAGGGAATTTTTGCTAGTGAATGGGCAAAGGAACACAAATTAAGTTATCAAATTATTGATCAAAAAGAATTGCCAACCGGAGTCTCTTGGGGTAGTAAGCATCCGACAGGTAATTAAGCAAGGTTGTTCTAAATTTTTGACCACTGACTAACTGTAATTTTCTTTATCAACCAGTATCGATTAATCCTCTCAAATACTTGAATTACTTATTTGACGAGTTTATTGCTTTGGGAGGAACTCGAGAACGAAAAACCATTAGTGATTGGTCTGAGGTCTGTCAAGAAAAAACAGTCATTATCAACTGCTCTGGACTTGGTGCTAAAAGATTAGTCGACCAAAGAGAAAAAGAAAAAATTACTTCGATTGGTGGTCAAACTGTTATTGTCAAAATGAAGTTGGAACAACCAATAGGATTTAAGTTTAAGAGAAGTGAGGGGCAACAAACCTATTTCATCACTCGACCAAAAACTTTTTTTATTTTTTTTGCAATCAAAATATTTTGTTTTATTTTTCCTTACATGTCATTACATAATTTCTTTCTTTAACGCCATTAATTTCCCTAATTCCGATGCTATTTCCTTCCCCCTAATTTTATATAATCGATTTTTTTATACGAAATTTCTCATGGCTTCACTCGAAATTAGAATATCCTTAATTTCGTTTCACTCGAATTTTCCCTTATATGAATATTCAATTTGAACGGAAGATACACGAGAAGATTTTCAAACCGCAAGAATAAATAATCGAATGAACCAGAAATCTGACGTTTATACTGTAAGATGTCATTGATGTTTGCCATTCTTTACACTCAGCTGTGATATTGATCATAGGGTTGGAATAATGAGATTAAAGATGGTCAAGGTCCTGGAGGACCTCGGTCCTACCGGTCCTACACCTCACAAACTGAAGCAAAAAAATTACCTAATCGCCTGAGGAACGAGAACCAGAATAGCCGAGACCTACCTAAAAAAAAGAAAGAAAACAAAACGGAGATGAGAAATGTTAGAAATGTAAAAGAAACTCGAAGGAAAACGAAAGAAATAACGAAACATAACCACAAACCAGGACCGCCGAAAGAATGATCAAAATGAAGGAATAAACAAAAAAAAAAACGATGCGGACAAAAGAAAGCATAATAAAAACGACCTATCCGTAATTGCCTAAGGAGCCAAATCGAAAGAGCCGAAAGAATGAAATTCTAAAAAAAAAAAATAAAGAGGAAATTGTTAGAATTTTGAACCGAAATGTCTTATTATCGGTCTTACTGCACCAGAGACCACGGTCCGTCCTACAAAGACCGGGATCGGCTTAGAACGGCGAGTAGATTATGCAATAAAAACTTTGGAAACTCTCGGTTGTATTCTTGAGGGAAAACCACGTAATAGGGTACCTGCAAAATATTAAACAACTTGAAGAAGCCTATCATATGAACAAAAAAAAACGGAGTGCTGACCAAGCATTTGAGGAAGATGTGTAGGACCATTGACCATCTTTAAATGAGATCGATAAACAAATTCCTCAAACACCTCCTCATAAAATCACTGGAACACTTCCGTTTCTCAATCCTCAGCATCAGATTCCTTCATCCCCTCGACTAGTGAAACCGATGGTGATATCTACCCAAATAGAGGTAGGAATCAATTTTCTTTCAGCTATGCTACTTATAAGAGATATCTATTTTAACTTACATCGCTTTTACTTTTTCGGAAGATGTAGAAGAGGATGAAGAAGAGAATTGTGATTTGAGGAGAAGGATAGTGATGAGGATGCAGACATAGATTTTTGGAGCCACAGGTGCGAAACTAACGGATGCATCGAGAACGGAATATAAAAAGATGTATGAGAATATGGGCGAAGAGCTGAAATGGAGATTCAAATCTGGACGATATGTGGAAGATGTCATTTATGAATTCGGCTGTTCGCACAACCAATGCCAAAAAAAAAATGCCAATGCCAGCGTCGTCAGTTTGAAGAGTAAGCCACATCATGCCAGTTATTAACATATCATAAAGAATCCTGACAAGTATTACAATTTCTATTGAAGAGTACAATATAATCCAAATTTTTTTGTATTATTGATAGACAGTCAAAAAAGCTCTAATACATATTAAACTTATATTAGAATAGTACCCTATAGTTCAATGTTTATTATAGTTAATTCTTAATATAATGAATTTTTGTATAATGAATTTTACAATATAATGAATTTTTGACCTGATACAAATTTTACTATCAAATTTTACTAGTTAAATATTGTATAATATTTAATAAAAAATTTTAAATACATTAAAATGATTCTTTTTATAATGAATTTATTTTTTTTTATATTTATATATATTTTGAGAGCATTGCCTTAAATATATAGTATAGAAATGAAATTTAGTTTATAAAATTCAAAATATAGAAAATTTATTTAAACTGATACTTAAAATTTTTTTATTTTGAAATTATAAAATTTTTATATTAATATCAATACATATCACATTGAACTTTTTTTGAGTATAAATTACTAAAACATTTAAAATAAGTAAAATATCTTATATTAGTAACTCATATTTTAGAAAATTAAATTATTTGATTAAAAATATAAAGTTCTAATTTACTATAATAAAATTTGAATGTGAATATCTTAGGCTAATTTCTATCAAACTTGATAAATAGTTTTAGAATATTTTGATCTTTTAAATAAGTCTAAATTTATGAATTCTAATCACTAAATCTATAAAAATTTGTAAAAAATGAAAAATAATTATTTTGAGACTTATTATGAAAGAATCTTAAATAGATGTAAATACTAAAACTAAAACAAAAAGAAACATCTAAAAAGTAATAATACTAAATACTAATTTCACTATCTGAAAACTTAAAAAATTGTATATTAATATGTAAGTCAATAGGATTACCTAGAAGTATTTAAATTAAATATTTAAATTATAAATCTTTAAAATAAAGTAATTATATAATTTAAAAGTCATAAAATACCAATTTAAAATAATTAGATTTAGCTTTAAAAAAACTTTAAAATAAATCAAAATTTATTAAAATTAGATCATAAGAAACTAAATAATTTTGAGAGATTGTAAAATTTTAATTATATGTATTATAACAAATCTTGATTAAATTTAAAGTCAAAAAGGAAATATTTATGAATGAATTTTGAATTAATTTTCTATTAATACTAAAGTCTAATTATTTAAAGAAATTAAAAAATTATTATGTAATAAATGAAGTTATTTATTGAATTAACAATACAAAATTTAGTATAAAAAATTGTTAATTATTTATGAAATATGATTAATTAGTCAGAAATTACTAAATTAAAACTATTAGTTTTAGAGCATCAAGAATTTTAAAATAAGCTAGATTTTATAAAATTTAGATTAAAAATAGATTTAACTTTATTAGTTGAAAATAATTTTTACTTATTATATTATGAATTTGACTAATTATAAATCAATTTTATAATACATAATATACTATTATAATGAATTTTACTATGTTATACTAAATAATTCATTATAATATTAAAAATTTTTTATAATAAAAGTTTAATCAGTTTAAACATTTACTTTATTATATTAAGATATAATTATATTTATTTTTATTTTATTTAATTTATTATTATTAATTTTTCTTTAATTACAAAAATTATTTTAATATATATAATTATATATTATAATTAGTTTAGATCTAGTGATTTTAATCTATTAAAATGAACTGTCTATTCCAATAGTATTTTTTTAAATTAGTTAAATTTAGTGATCAACATTAATTATCCCTTAGATCATCTAGCGTTCAAATTTGAACGCTAAAATTTTTTTTTTACTATTTTTGTATAATTGCTTTTAAATTTTTTAAGTTATACCCCTATTTTTAAGCTAAAATGAATCCATTTAATTCGATATCACGTGTATTAAATTTTCATAATACATGTAATAATGGTATATAGATCATAGATCGCATCTTGTGTAACTTGATAATTATAAAAAAAAATTAATCATAAAATCTGTATGTCTTTTTTTACATCGAATACATTGGCTTCAGGTTCAGAAACAGATTCTGATGAGGAAGAATATATACCATTCTTGGCATCTCGCCAATACTTGAACAATTCAGATTCAGAAAATGAAAATGAGGATAAGGATGAGGACGAATATAAGATAAATACCTACAAAAGAAAATGTAAATCAACAAGAATCATACAACAAGAATTACCACCACCACCTGAATTTGAACTACTTATTCACCTAAGACAACCTCATCAAACATCCATTCGGCTGCCAACATATCTTGATATTGGTGTCTCTAAGCCGATTGACTTTTTTTTTTTTTTTTTTTACAACAAACATGTTGGACACTATTGTTGAAAATACAAATCTTTATGCATTATCAAAAGGTGCTAGTGCTACTGGTAGGCGTTGGCTAGACTTTACTCGTAAAGAACTTCTTATTTGGATTGCCTTGGTTATTTATCAAGGACTTTTTAAATTACCTTCTCTTGACCAGTATTGAAATGAAAATGGAAAGCTTCC